GGAGCCTGTCACAGTTCCCTCGTGGCCTGGAAGACGAGACGGTGCCGGACTTGAGTGGATGGGGTCGGATTAGGATTGATGCTTTAAGGTGTAGGGTTTAGGGGCTTAGGGGTTTAGGGGTTTAGGGCGTTTAGGGGTTATAGTGTTTGTGGCGTAGAGCCGGAAGGAGCACCTGAGAGCAGCACGCTCGGAGGCCCCCAAGACATCTCTTTAGCGTGATAGCAATCTCCCTGCAAAGGGTGGTTGGAGGATGATGAGACATAGTAAGTAGGACTGTAAGTACCTTCATTGGAGCTATACATACTTCGAGCTATAGTTTCCTTATTTCTTAGAACCCAGGTACTACGTCCCGTGATCCTCCAACTGGGTCTCAACAGTTTGTGCCAAGGGCAAGAGCTACCAGGGGTTCAGAGTGTAGGGCCCAGCAATAGCTGAGTAAGCCGGGAGGAATTTGCTGTTGACATGTTTATGACTTAAATGAAACAACTAGAACAGAGTATTGACGTGTATTTTGCTATACGTATAACCAAGAGCCCCGAGAAATACTATCAGTAACCCTTACATATGCTTTCCTGGTGACGCCTGACAATGGCCAAATGAGAAACTAGGTCGTTCTGAGGGCTTGGACTTTGCAATCGTAAGCGCTACGGCGGGGCATCGGTGTTTAGCCTTTTGGTGTTGAGGTTGCGCGTTTGGGAGTTGTTTGCCGCTTGAGGCTTTTGCTGCAAGGTTCAGGGTCTACGTGCTTAGGGCACAGACGCTGACAGTCTTTCGAAGGGTTTAGGGTTTAGGGCTGCTGGACATGTCCCATTTTCGAGATCTGCGTCATTGGAAATACCCTCCCCCTCCTGTGCCGATGAACTTATACTCTTTGAGCCAAAACCTACTCTAATTATTCAGGCTTCCCCATACACTTACACGATGTATTCCCTTTAAGTCCACTTACCCCTTCGCCGAAGCACCGCGGTGGCGACGAAAGTCAGCACAGCCAGCTGGTTAGTCTTCCTCTGTGTCTTGTCCTCGCAGCACTAGCAGAATAAGGGCTAAGAGGACAACGACACGAGTTCTACAGGTTTTGCTGATAGGGCTTTCATACTTACATCTAGTTATTTTGGGATATGTATAAATAGGCTTGCAGTCTATACGGACAATAAGTGTTTGGAGTGCGGCAACACTAAGGAGCCATACCTACGCTCACATACCGATAAGGTGTTTAGCTTGGCCAGTTGAGTATCGGAAGGACCCGAAGACCCAGTTCACCGGCAAGGTCGGGGCAGTAAAAAGACAGCAGAGCCCGTCCGTTTTAGGGTGCTTAGAACTCTACTTATGACCTACTTAGTAAAGTCCCCCGACCCTCCAAGTACATCCGCACACAGATCCCAAGGCCCACCCTTTCGCACCTCGCCCATGTCACCGACATCGCCGAACTTCGTGGCGAGGACATTTCGGGTCACCTGGAGTCATTCGCCGCAACTTAAACCGCAGGTATAGGGCTTAGGGCCTTACTCTTGAGCTCCAGGGGGACACTCGCGGTCTTCTGAACATAAAGGTAGGGGTCTCTTTCTGCAGGTCTTATCGGAACTGTGCAGGTCCTATCGGAACTGCTTTGTTGCGCCTTTTTCGGGGGCTCTCCATTTCGGGCCCAGTTTTCAAGCCTCCTCGTCGTGCTCGGGATTCCTCGTTTCCTGAAACTCCCCAGTCCGAAACTTGAAACGATCCGAACCTCAAAGCCCTGGAGACTTGGGGGTTTCCGAAAAATAGGGGACCCTGTTATAGTACCCTAAATAGTAGGATCCTTATTATAAGGACCCCCAAATAAGGTACCCTTATTTTCGGAAACTCCCACTTAGACAGAGGACCATGGGACTGAGTGAGTACGGATATGAGTGCCTTAACTGGGGTCAAAAGTATTATAAGCCTAGTTTTCTTTTGTAATATAGGGGCCTTGATAATTAGAACAGGGCTTGGGGCCCATTATACTAAACTTATAAGAATGAACCCCCAAACATAGTAAAGGTAATTAAATTATCTAGGCCCCTATATATTACTCTAATTACTAAGCCCCATGATCCTCTAGATACCTGAAGCCTGAAACCATCCCAACCTAACTCGTGCGATCAGTGGAGTTAATCTAGGGGCCTAAATAATTACAAATACTGTTTTGGGAGCTCCATGATATAACTATAGTATAGTGGGCCCCAAAACCCTATTCTAATTATTGAGGCCCCTGTATTAGTCAGTAGTTCTGGATAGAGCTAGAAGCACCCTAAGTGGGGTCGCAGTGGGGTGATCGCCGATCAGAACCTCCAGACACGAAAACCGCGTAATATTCCGGCCTGAATAATTAAGCTAAGGCTTCCGGGGGCTATTCCTCGACCCCTATACCAACAGCTCGCGCCAGGTGACGAAGAAGAAGTTGGATGCCATGGCCGTCAAGAAGCCAAACCTGGAAGAGATCACTCTTTGACTGTTTGAGGCTTGTAGGGTACAAGGTTCATCGGGTTTAGGGTGTGGGGACTGGGGCTTAGGTGAAACCTAGAAGAGAACACACGTGGGAACAGGATTTCGGGCGTATAACGAGGCAAAAAAGTCAGTCATTCAAACGTCGCACGGGGATGGCTTCATGCTAGATTCAGGCATGGTCCATGAAACGTGACATGCAGAAAAAATGATGCCATGCAGTCCGGTGAGGCTTCTTACATGGAAAGACCAAAGACTCCATGAACGCATGCCGAAGGCATTCAGTCCGTCTAAGAGCATACTGTTGAGCATACTGGGATTCGTGTACCAGTGGTGTCCTGATGTCATGCGCATATGGTCTGCAGGGAGCTGGATAATGTTGACGATTACCTACCCGAAACACAGAAAGCGCTTCCTAAGTCCAGTCCCGCAAAAGTACAAACGACTTGTCGTCTCCGGAGTACTTCGAGAGAACTGATGCAGTCCGATCTCGAATCGTCAGCTGAGCTGCACCGTCTAGCACGACAGTCTCGTTTGGGCGCGTCTCTCCACAGCCAACGTTTGGGGTCTTGGGCTTAGGTTTAGTGTTTCGGGGAAAGGGATGTGTAGTACTGGTTTTGGACCTTAGGGTTTCTGGGAGGGTCAACTGCCCGTTTGACCTGTATAACTCACAGCATTTAGGCTGAGGCAGACACTACTACCAGTCTGCTAGATTTCAGCGTACGCCTTGGGTTTCTTTTCTTTGGTAAAATAGTCTAATTATCAGAGAGGTCAAGAATCCGGAGTAAGATGCCCGGGGTTTAGGTTTCTGTAGGGACTATGCTTCCATGCGAATGTTGCGCATAACTCCTAAGGACAGGCTGCATTCCTACGGTCGAGTCAAATGTCTAGGGCACAGCACACAAGGGGTACCGGATAGTTCCTAACACCCCAGTTACTTGGAGGTTCATGGGTAGCTATAACTGGGGTTACAAGTAGGGTAACTATACTTATAACCCATATTAGGGGACTTGTAACCCCACTTATAACTACCCCTAAACCCTAAACCCTATAGAACCCTTTAAAGGATCCTTGTAACCCATATTAGGGGACTCATGACCCCACTTATAACCTCCAAGTAAGACCCTGATGAAACTTACAAAGACTCTCAAGATGGCAACAAAGGCTTCGCCCCACACCCCTACTTGGAGGTTTATGGGACTAAGTAACTAGGGTTATAAATAGGGTAACTAGACTTATAATTACTTATAACCCCAATTAGGGTACTTATAACCTTACTTACTAAGTCCCATGATCCTCCAAGTAACATGATAAAGGGGTTTAGGATTTACGGTTTCAGCGCCCCTCGCGCCCGCGTGCTACGTATTCTGAAGGCCCTCCACATCCCAAATGCGATCCTGTCTCTCGTGGTTCGGGTAAACGGTACTCCCACAAAACAACGGGCTTACATATAAGCCCTAAATCCATATAATTATCCTTGTTCTGAGGACCCCAAAGTATTGATGTACACGGAAAACCGGAAACCCATATCAAAAGGGAGCTGCTATGTCCGATCTGTCCCTTCCTGTTCTTTGTATATCTAAGTTCCGCAGTAACCCCCTCATGATGAGGGCAAGGGGCTACTACGGGAGGACCTACTTGGAGGATCCTGGGACTCAGCAAGTAAGGCTATATATATATATATATATATAGAGGCACCTGACTCAATGGGAGTTATCAGCAATTATAGCTGTAGTTACCTTCTCTATGCTTTCTAAGTCCCATGATCCTCCAAGTACTACGGCGGGACCTAGCTGACCTAGCTCTGCTTTCTGCGGGCATCTGAGCCCGTGGCATAGTGAAGGACAGCTCCTGTCAAACCCTAAACCCTCAGGCTTCTTAGGGTTTAGGGTTTAGGGTTTAGGGCCTTCAAGGAACCCTCAAAGGCCAACCACAGACCTCATATCCCATACCCCCCATGCTTTTAACCCAAGTCTCGAACAGCAACCCAAATCAACCCTTCAAAACCGTCTAAACCCCCTAAACCCTAAACTTAAACCCTAAACCCTAATCCCTATAAGCCCTATATACCCGAGCCCTTAAACCCTAAACCCCTAAGCCCCAAACCTAGACGAAGCAGACCTGGGTTAGCCGCTTGAGGCAATTGAAAGATCTGTGGCAGAATCCTCGTCAATCCAATAAGGGAACATGTCCAAAACCATACCCAAATGCCCTTATGCAAGGGGCCTTAATATTTAGACTAGGGTTTTAGGGTATATTATACTATAGTTAGAATAAGGAACCCCCAAAATAGCATAGGTAATTATTGAGGCCCTAGATTCCCCAGAGAAGCACTTGGCAATGCCTCGGGATGCACACTTCCCGGTGAGCACACCACGAGTTTCGGGATTTGGGGTGCAGGGGTTTCAGAAAGTAGGAGTTGGGAATAATAGGGTTTAGGGTTTAGGGTTTAGGGGATATAGACCCTCTCAAGAATGTCCCTTTTAAGAGAGCCACAAGTAGGGCAAAGAAGGGTCGCCTTTTCAAGGGGTCTCCCTAATACTGCCTAGGAGAATGGCCGCTACCCCCCTTAACTAAGGAGAAGAAGCCTGAATGCCGATGACCGTGGTTAGAGGTTTGGGGGAGTTTGGGTTGGTGCCTTGACGGTTCAGGGCTTATTTTAGATCTGAGGACGAGGATGATGACTGGCATGCGAAGCCGATATCTTGCTGACTGGCTCCTCTGAAGCGTGGGCACCCAAAGCCTGCATGATTAGGGATGAAGGTTTTGTGAAGCCCCCGACATAAACTGTGATTGTCTGCATATTCAAATCTTTTGCTTAAGAGCATAAGAATTACAGGGGCCTTTATAGTTCGAACCGGGGATTTTGGGTTAAGTATAGTATGACGGGATGCAGGGAATAGTACGACCCCTAAGCTACCTATGTGAAGGCTCTCCTTGGACGATGCCAGCGCCACACCAGCGAAGACCTCGCTTAGAGAGCTCGTCTATGTCTAGGGCCTCAGGGCTTCACATGGGCCTTTCATATCGGCTTAAACTTAAACTGGGGCACTAGAGATGCAGCGTTCTTACTGTTGCTTCGTAAGCTTTTTGTTGAGCAGGTTAGAGGTCTGCGTACATAGAGCAGATTTCGGGGTATAGTCTGAAACAGACTCGTAGGAGCAACTGTCTAAGGGCACACAAATAGAACCCTAAAGCCATTGATCCTAAATTCAGAGTATGACTCCTAAATGGAAACCTATGTCCCTCCGTAATCAGGACCTAATTCCGAACTCCTAATAAATTTCAGTATAGGGTCCTGACTAGTTAACAACGCTGTTCGAGGTAGGTTCCTGACTATATACTATAAGATCGGATACCCCCCAAGACCCATTTCCAATATTTAAGGCCCCTATGGTAGCTCAGCATCTCACAGCTAAGAAGCAGGTCCAAGCCCCTTAGGCATCAGGTTCGGGAACTCATGCCTATGATTCTCGCTTTCCCTGGGAAGGTAGGCACAACATGCTCAATTGGGGGAGATCCTGATGAAAGAAGTCGTAACTGTAACCTCAACCGTCACCATCACCAAGTTGCGGGAAGGAGCGATGCGTAGACCATGGGGTGGAACACCTGGCTGCTGGTTGCTCAAGGAAGCATGACTGGGTCCTTCTTTAGGTATGCAAAACGGACCGGTAGTAGGCTGCACACGTACCCACTCGGCTGCTATGGGGGCATTCATGATTACGTACTGCTTGAGTTCCTCATTACTTAATAAAAACCACAGCAAAGTCTACCCCAACCGACTATTCTAATTATGAAGGTCTCTATATTACAACTAAGGCTGGGATGCTTTCTTGGACGCAAAGGTGTTTATACCTTCATACAGTGGCAAAAAGAATTGAAGTTAGAAGAGGGTGTGAATGGTATACTAGGTTGGCCCATTAAAGACTCCCACGAGGATTCGTAAATAGTATCCTCGTAAGCCCTATAAGGAAAATATACAAGATCCCCAAGGCCTGCCTAGTACATATGTTATCTTATTCTGAAAGAACCAGGAGCCTTAAGGAGCCTTAAGGAAGAATGTAGGGGCCTTAATAATTAGAATATAGGGGTTTGGGTGTATACTATACTATAATGATAACAAGAAGCCCCCCCAAAACCCTATTCTAATTATTAAGGCCCCTACATGAGTGTTACTGCTTAGGCCCAATCCCTCGGGCGTAAATAGCAGGTCCTACCCTAGTCGTAAAAACGCAACAACCTCGGTTTTAGGGGTTTAGGGGTTTGGGGTTAGGGGTTTAGGGTTTAGGGTTTAGGGTTTAGGGTTTGCAAACAAAACAGCCTTGAGTGCGAGTGAGGTTAATTACAAGACGCGCAGCAAGAAACACCTGGTATCCAGTATCGCCATCAGACACGACAGCCCTAAACCCTAAACCCTAAACCGAGTCTTTGGGTGATGGGAGAGCCTGACGGCAACCCCTTCCGTTACGACGAGATATAGGAGTTTCCGAACATAGGGGTACCTTATATTGGGGGTCCTTATAATAAGGGTCCTACTATTTAGGGTGCTATATTTGGGTCCCCTATTTTCGGAAACCCCCATATGTTTCTGTCTCAACCAGCATATTGACAGAAGATCCTCCGAGAGGTCATCGAGAGGTCATGTTTGAACTCGTAGATTTCATCGGAGCCTAGCGTCTCCCCACCACCTCGGAAAATTTCAGGAGTGACACGGGTTTAGGGTTTAGGGGTTTAGGGTTTAGGGTTTAGGGGGTCGTATCGTCTGGTCTAAGCCTTCCTCTCCCGAGCGATAACACGTAGTCTCGAGCAAATATGCCTCAACAAAAACGTACTCCCAAGACGTCGCGATACTGGACAAAGAGTGGGGCGAGCCACCTTTACCTACATAAACACAAAAACCCTGTTATTATAGACACCCTCTCGCGAAGATCATGAGCCCTAAACCCTGAACCCTCCACCCCGACCCCTAAACCCCGAACCCGCCACCCTAAAACCTAAGCTGCCCTAAACCCTAAACTCTGAAACCCCGAAGGGAACCCTTAAAAGAACCCTTGAAGGAACCCTAATCGGAAACCCTTAAATTAAAGGACCCCTAAGAGAACCCAACCCCAAACCCTAAAACCCTAAACCCTAAAGGGACCCTAAACCGATGGGCCCTAACACCTACACCCCAAACACTAAACCCTTCAATCAAGGAACCCAACACCCTAAACCCTAAACTCCCTAAAAACCATAATCCTTAAACTCCCTAAAACCCTCAACCCCGAAAACCCTAAACCCCCAAAAGCCCTAAACGCCCCAAAACTCCTTAAAAAACCCCAAACCCTAAACTCCCTAAAGCCCTAAACTTCCGAAACCTTAAAACCCCTAAACCCTAAAACCCCAGAGCCCTCTAAACCCCTAAACCCCAAAAAGCCTAAACCCTAAAACCCCTAAACCCTAAAACAACTCTAAAAGCCCTAAAACCCCCAAAAGGAAGCCCTAAACCCTAAAATTCCTAAACCTTAAAAACCCTAAAAGCCCTAAAACCCCCGAAGGGAAGCCCAAAACCCTAAAACCCCTAAAACCCCCTAAAACCCCTAAACCGCTAAAACCCCACCAAAAAACACCCTGAAAGCCCTAAAAGCCCCAAAAAGGGACCCGCCGAAGCCGAGCCTGGCCGAGGACCAGGGCCGACGCGATGGCGTTCACGGCCGGCTCCAGGGCCTGAATTCACTAATCCAAGGGCTTGGGTTTAGGGTTTAGGGTTTAGGGTTTAGGGTTTAGGGTTTAGGGTTTAGGGTTTAGGGGCTTTAGGAGGGACCCTTAATAGGTTAGTGGTGCTAATATGGAGGCTACCTGGCTATATGGGGGGTATATAAGGACTATACAATGGTCATTGAGCAGGGCCTGAAGCCACTAGGGAAAGAGGGGCCTTAATAATTAGAATAGGGCTCCTTTAATTTAAGGGCTCAATATATGGGGCCTTAGTGAATTAGGGTTTTAGGGGCCTGCAGCCACCTTAATAATTAGGGTTTAGGTTTAAAAGAGGGTTTCAATAATTAGAATAGGGCTCCTTTAAAGGTTCCTTTAAAAGGGTTGCTATAAGCCATCAGGAAAGAGGGGCTTCAACAAGGGTTTTTCGGGTTTTAAGGGTTGTTTTGGGGGTTTAAGGGTTTTAGGGGTTTAGGGGTCTTACGGTTTTAGGGTTTTAAGGTTTTTAGGGGTTTAGGTTTAGGTTTAAAAGAGGGTTTCAATAATTAGAATAGGGCTCCATTAAGGGTTCCTTTAAAAGGGTTCCTTTTGAAGGGTTACTATAACGGTTATTCTAATGGGTCTATTTGGGTTTAGGGTGTAAGGGGCCTTAATAATTAGAATAGGGCTCCTATAAGGGTTCCTTTAAAAGGGTTATACAATATAGGGGCCTTAATAATTAAGGCTTTAGGGTTTGGGGTTTTAGGGCTTTAGGGTTTTAGGGTTTTAGGGTTTAGGGCATTAGGGTTTAGGGAGTTTTGGGGTTTAGGGTTTTAGGGAGTTTTAAGGTTCATAGAGGGTTTTAAGGGTTTAGGGTTTTAGGGTTTAGGGTTTAGGGTCTAGGAAAAGAGGGTTTCAATAATTAGAATAAGGCTCCTTTAAGGGTTTCTTTGAAGGTTTAGGGCTTTAGGGTTTTAGGGTTTTAGGGTTTAGGGGGCTTAGGGTTATGGGTTTGAGGTTTTGGTTTTAGGGTTTTAGGGGTTTAAGGGTTTAGGGTTTAAGGTTTTGGTTTTAGGGTTTTAGGGGTTTAAGGGTTTAGGGTTTGAGGTTTTGGTTTTAGGGTTTTAAGGTTTTAGGGGTTTAAGGGTTGAGGGTTTAGGGTTTTTTAGGGAGTTCAGGGTTTAATTAGAACAATGTTTCTTTACAGTATGGGTTCCTTTAAAGGGATCCTTAAAGGGTGCAGAGGGCACTCTTCTTCTTTTGGGGGGTCCTAGGGTTCGGGGTTTGGGGTTTAGGGTTTAGAGTTTGGGATAATAGGGTTTAGGATTGGGGGTGCTACTTCTTTTGAGGGTTCTTTAGGGTTCCTTCAAGGGTTCCTCGAAGGGATCTACATGGTTCTATTTCTACGGCTCCTTCTTCTGCGGGTTCCTTCTGTTTGGGTTTCTAGGGTTCCGGCTCCTGCTTTTAAGGGGTTGGTCCGGTTCCTTCCTTTCAGGGGTTCCTAGGGTTCCTTGACGGGTCTGTGGGGGGCTCCTTCCCTTGAGGAGTTCCAGTAAGGACCCCGACGCAGGAAATCAGACCGGCGCAGTGCCACGTCGAGCGGATGACGGCCGAGTTCGTCGCGAACCTCGAGGCTAGCTCGCGCCCGCATCAAGCACGTCACCCACCTGTGGCTGCCCCTTTCAGCGGCTTCACGAAGCAAACGAGAGTCGTCCGTGTAAGGTCGCACCGTGGCTCCGGCTCGCACCAGAGAGATGGCTGGATCGATCGGAGAGTCCATGAAGCACCTCTCGATGGGACCGCGACCCAACGAATCCACCTGGGCGACGTCCGCCGCATTTCGCAACAGAAGCTGCAGCCAGGACCTCGAACCCATCGACGCGGCAATGAGCAAAGGCGAGTCTGGGACCAAGAGAGCCCATATTTTGCATGGTTTTGGTAGGCTGCCGGGAAGGGCTTGGAGATTCCAACGCCCCTTAACCGGGGAACAGTACCTGGGGTCTGTTTATGACGTATATAATGCAAGTTTCTTCATATGGGGGAATCCTGGTGAGAATGGCTCTGCATTGCGGGCTACGGTGCTCTTTGGGCTGGGTTTAGGGCTGGGTATGAGACTTCAACGCTAGGGTCCAAGATTAAATTGATTGCGTGCCCTAGCTAGCACACGACAGTGACCCTTCTTTGCAAACGAGCGCTGCGGAAGCGTCACTATGTCTGTCAAAGGGCCTCAAGCACTTCGTGCGAGCTTCATCCGAAAGATGTCACAAGTGGAATGAAATGCCACGAGTGATGTTCAAAGAGTCTCCACTCTGACACTCCCTCAGGGAGGCTGGGCGGGAGAGCAAGAGACTTGAGAGGATAAGCAACAGAAAAGCGGGCACTGCGTCAAAAACGCACTCAAGTGCAATCATGATTGCGTGCCCTAGCTAGCACAC